ATATCTAGTAGTAGTGTTGTTCATAGCGAAAGAAAACTGAGCAGTTTAATTTAAACACTCGTAATTAAAAGAAACAAAAATTCCTTAGGAATGTAGGGAAAAATGAAAACATGAAAATATCGGTGATCTTTGAGTTTTTTACAAAAGGGAAAATTTTCAATTCACATTTAGAAAAAGAACAAAATTAGTCGAAAAATCTGCAAGGTCATTCATTCTAATTTTTTCTTTTCCTCCTCATTAAATATGCATATTTTAAAACAAGGATATTTTCAATCCTTGCATTATTTTGTTATTTAAGATTTTTGAAAAAAAAAAAGCTCATAAACCAATAAGATCAGGAATGAAAACATAATTCATTGTGAAATTAAATTTAGCATATTTGCAATCGATTACTACTAAATGAAAAATTTTCTAACGTTGTAATATTTACCCATTATTGTGGGCGTAAAACCTTTAAATTTCCATTAATGAAGTGTACTACGTTCTTCTACTGTACGATGAAACAAAACATGTTAGAACTATTAATTAGGTCACCTTTCATTAAAGAATTTATGATAAAAATTACGATCATTTATCAAGGACAATGACTACTAAAGAATAAAAAATTTTATATTCTACAACAATAGTTACTGCAGATAAAAATGTACAAAAAATTTGCCAACTGCTTAAAAATTTTGGAAAGAAAAATTAAACGAAAATATAAACAAAATGAAAAAATAAGCATAAAAATCAGGCAGGAGAATGCTTATGCGTAAAATGAAATAAGTTTTTTAAAATTTAAGCAAAAGGAAAAAAAAGAAAATGAGAAAGTGTTCCAGATATTGACATATAAACAAATGCCTATCCTAATGTAATCGATAGGCTAAACAAGATTTAATCATTTTGTTTTATGCAAACAATGCTTCATAATTGGTAAATCATTTTGATTAATCCAGTAAATGAAATTGAAGAAAAAAATCAATAAAAAAAGCATCAAAATTAGTGAATGTAAATGAATTTTGTAATAAAAATGCCTAGAAAAAAGAATTTACGGTATAATTTATGCGAAATGCGATCAGCGCCATTGTAGGATAGTAAAAGTATGGTTCGTATACTACGATATCGATTGAAACTGTAACAACCGATCGAAACCATTGAAAAGAATGAAAGAACTGAAGGAAAACGATAAGTTATCAGTAAATTAATCCAAATTAGTTTTAATTTATTCATTAAAAGTTTAAATTAATTCTATTCATTAAAATTGAGAAGAATAATGAACTAAAACATAATCGTTTCGAAATGAAGCAAAATTGATGGACTAAATTGCTTGATCCAAATTAATAATTAAAATTCATTAAGTTGTTTTACGTTACATAATCGAAACCATTTAATTGTATTTCATGGCATAACTGATCTTAGCTTTTTTAATTAAATGAATTTTAATTGAATGAACATTAACAAAAGCCAAATCAATTTTTTTTAAAGAAGTAAATTGAATATAATTTATTTTAAATCGCATTAACTTGATTTAAAACTGTTTAAAGAACAGAACATAAAGTCGAATGGTAAAAAAGACAAAAACTCATTTGATTTGTTTGCAATCTTAAAAATCAAAATTCTTGAAATTTTTGCTAAGTTATCAACTTCTGTGACATCCTAGAAAAAAGATGATTTAAATCCTTAAGCTCAATAAAACAGAACATCACTGCCCTTGCCTACTAATATCCTACAAAAAACTTTTACAAATTCTTTTATACTCTTTTAAACCAAAAATTAATTGACCAAATGGCCAATAAAATTTTTTTTTTCTCTTGATAATTTTTTGTTAATTCCTTTTTCCTTTTGATAATTTGATAATTCTTTTGATCAGAAATTTTGATAATAAATTCTTAAACTTCGATTTAAAAAAAAAGTGAGCGACCCCAACTATTGCTCATATATAAAAAACTCATTTCGTAAAACTAACAACACTTCCATTTCCGGATAAAAAAAAAGAACTAATGATAAACAATAGTCAACCAACTTTTAAAATTGATATCCTTTAACGCAAGATCACGTCATTTAAAAGATGACATTTCATTGATAACAAGATTCTGATAATTTTCATTTCTCGTTAAAAGTGATAACAAGATTATAACAAAATGCAGATTACAGAACTTACTCATTTTTGGATTGTCATATGATTATCTGATAAACTACTCAACACTGAAACACATTTCATCCACTGCAACATATAAAATAAATGACTCAAATTAATAAATTATTAAAGCACCTAAAAATGCAGCATAAATTCCATCTCAAATTACAAAATAAATTTCAATTTCCGATTAATCAAACATTTGTGAGCTTTTTTTGGCTATACTACATCTGATATAGTAATCATTGCGATAAAGTAAAATATGTAACACGTAGAAAATTGAGAAATCTTTTCAATTTCCTTATATTTTACAAAAGTAATACGAAACTTTCTGGTCTTAATTCACTTTTCAACGAAATCAATTAAATTATTAGTTTTTTAAATAGAACATATGCTGTATTACAATATACTTCAAGGGCTAAATAAAAGCAAGTGAAACACTTAAGGAAATGAAAATTAACACATCGATAAAATAATTCCAACAAATAAAGTGAATAAATAAAAAGAAATCAAACACAACTCAAAAAGTAAATTGGCATTTTTCGTAATGTCGCTTAAACATTTGCATATCGAATTACTTATTTGCTAATTAAATTTCCTTTGCTTGCATGATATGGCATAGAATGTTTCAGGGAGTTATTTTATATTGAAAAAACACGTAAAAATTTTCAATTTACAATGATTAATTAAAAATTTATGGTAATCGAACAATAAGAACAATTAAGTAATCCATATAAAATAAATGTACGAATAATCTTTATGCGTTAAATCATACAATGTAATGAACTACTGGTAAAGAGGAAAAAACCAAGGAAGGAACAAATTTTATCGATATGGGAATTAAAATTCTATGGGAATAATAATGATAATTGAAAACCTCTGATTCAGATCAAGAAATCAAAAAAAAAATTAGTATAATATCGCCTCAAATACTTTTTAGAAAATTAATCAATTCGATTTCACTTCTTCCTGTCAGATAAAGAAAAATATAACTCAATGGAATAAAGGAGTATGAAGAGAGATATTGCGATAGGTAAAATTCAATTTCGCAATCAGCCGTTGCATCAATTTTCTTTCTTCTTTGATTAGCAACATGCAAATATTAAAAAAACAAAAGTATAATTGCGCCAATAATAAAAATAATAACTATATCGTTTGGATAAAAAGAAACAAATTTTGTAAATTAAAATCACAGCAAGTATCAATACACATATTAATGTACTGAAAAGACTTATCGGCTGCATTATAAGGAAGGAGAAAAAGCCGAAGATAGTTTCATTATATATGCATATTTTACCAATAACTTAGATGCGAAAAAAAATCAACAGAGGAATTTTGTAACTTTCCGAAAACAACCTTCCTTTTCCAAAAAAACCGCTAATTTAGGATGCATTTGCTCAGCAGTTTCAATATTTAGCTGAGTCATAATTAGATACAACATGAGATGAAATTAGATCCTTAACTTTAAACAAATAATTACTAAAAAAATAAGTTATGTTAATCTTGCCTAACTGAACATAATGTGTAATATCGCAATCTAAACATTTCAAAAACTATTTTGGCACCTATATTTATCAGGAAATCTTGCTCATCTATAACCGTATTAACTGTTCACGTTAATAAGTAAGCAGAATGAATGTAATTAGTAGCTAATGTTGCATGCTTTTTTTAAGTGATTCTGCGTATTCAATAAAAGAAATCAGAGATAATATTGGATGAAAGAGATAAAAAATAACATATAGAAAACAAGAATAAATCATTTGCACTTTATTAATCACGTGCTGACAGGGGTGCCTTGGAAATTAAATTTGTTGAAAGTTTTTGTCCATGTTGTTGCTGCTGTTGCAGTTGTTGACACAGTCGTCTTACCATTTCTTCTAGACGACGGCGTGATTTTTGTTCTCGATCAAGTGTCTTATTTAATTGAAGTAATTCCTGGAAGAAAATTTATTGAACTTGCAAGTTATCCTTTAATGTTTCATTTGAAAAAAAAAATTTTTATTTGTAATTAAATGATAAGAAAAAGTGTTGCTGGCATCTCATTTTGATTCAGTGCCAAATAAGCTAATAAAATTAAATTCCAAAAAAAATTAAATTAACCTTTTGTACATTATTAAGTTGATCTCTTAGCGCATATACTGTATCGACAAGACTTCTGCAAAGATTCAAACATATTGGTATAAAACTGATGATATAAATAAAATATGTGATTCTACAGAAATTTTGAAATAATTGTAGCGTTATTACAAATAATTTAGTTTTTTTTATCTTTGTAATTTATAGAAAAAAAATTTTTTTTTAAAAAAGGAACATAGTTAGTTCGCTGCAAGAAGACTACAGCCAAAGATAAGCTTTTCAGGTATTATGCATTCCTTTATTTGAACTTTTAGTCAGACAGGTTTACATTTTAAGGCTATCTACTTGTGCTTTTATCTAAACAAAGCAAAAATAATGCAAGCTTCAAACAAAAAGATAATCGTCACATTTCGTTCAATTATTATTAGATTATCAAAATCATCGATGGATTAAATTGAACGATTCAATGACAAACAATCATCGTCCCTTTCCGAAAGAATGGTGAGAGGCTATTTGTAGAGTGCAATCATACTATTATTGATTCTCAATCTCGATGATTCCAGAAGTCTGTACTTGAACCAGTTATAATTTCAAATCATAATAACTAACAATTGGCTTCATTAAGAATCTCATAGTCATTTACTGATTCATATATTATGGTGCAATATGCAGATTATGTGAAGCTCATAAGAACAGGTTGGCATTGCTAGCCGGTCAAATCATCTTGCTTAATTTCAGCGAAGGCTGCCAAAAAATGAAAGTGATAATAACGAATAAATTCAGATATTAAACTCATGTCAAAGAATTTGTTTTCGGAAATTAAATTTTAAATTGAAGACATATGAGAAATCATCCTACTAATTCTTATTTCAACACTCACTTTTCCTTGACCACCACTTGATCACCAATCATTTCTTCTACAAACATTTTTTCATTTTCAGCAACAATTAACTGCGGTGCATCGTATTCATGAACGGATGAAGACTGCGTTCCATTGCCAGCATGTTTTATTGGTAACACTGCTGAACTATAACCTTCTACGATATGCAACAGAAATGCGTCTTCCTGATCACCTTGAGTTACTAAAAAGAAAAAACAAAAGCTTTTTTTTAAGGTAATACTTATAACGAATAAGAAATAAAAACTTGATAAACTTCAAGAAGATATCTCTTGAGACTAAATTTTAATTAAAAATCAGATTTGAAAATTTACAGATGAAAACAAAAAAATAACGAACTCTCTTTTCGTAATTTGATGTTTGTTTTCCTGGAGTAATCAATGGCATAATTGCCTCGAGCAGCAGGAAATGGTCGTAAACAATATCCGGAATACATTTTTGCTCGTTTTGAACGCGAGTCCTTCGCGCTTTCATTTCCATTAATTCCCTCAGGTAGCACCATTTCCAGTTTATGATCCAATCGAATACTTGGTGGAAGCCTACAATATTTCATTTCTTAAATATCAAAATAAAAAACTGGAACTCAATTATAAATTGCAAAATCATCAGTTATAAAACCCTATGTAAAATGTGAACGATGAGTTAACTCAAATATTAATTCTTTACAAACATTATTCATAAATTATACTGAATTGAATTTTGGAATAACACAGGCAAGTTACAGATGAAAAGGACGTCTATTCAACATTTAAAAGAACAAAAAAAAAAAAACAAAATATCAATAAATTAGAAAATAACAACGAAAAAGATTGTGGTCAAATATCGTGAAAATTTGTACGAGGGAATAAAATAAAAATGTCACGAAAATATAGATAGAATATCATTAAGTTTGAAATTAGAGCCAAAATTTGAATGATATTCAAGACTTATGAAATTCCAATATTTTATGGCCGAAAGGATAATAAAAAGTGCGCGAAGTGATGAGAAAAATTTAAAACATTCCAATAAATCTAAAATAAAACCAGCGATGGTAACCAAGACAATTACCGGAAGCTAAAGAAAAACGAGTCGGACAAGCGGGAAAAAACAGTTAAAATTGGAAAACGATGAGAAAAGCGATGTACAATCGATACGAATAAATTAGAAAATTCAAGAAAAAAATTTAAAAAAAAGCCTTTGAGAAATTATGTTCTCGATAATGATGTGAAAATTTATTTCCTAAAAATATCAGTGGGCTGGTGGAAAGTCTCTTTTTTTGTACATTCATATAGTCAAAGGAGAAGGATTCAGTGGATAAAAAAATCGTTTAATATTTCAACCGAAAAAAAAAGAGACGGATTCCAAAAATAATAAAATATCACACACAAGGAAAATAAAACTTACGCATTTCGTTTAGCATTATCTGCTTTAATTGCTACCGGTAGTTGTGATATTTCCGCCTTACGAAGTGGTGATATTTCAGCCTAAAAAAATGAGATTTAAAAAATTATCAATTACTAACTGATAATGAACAGTTCTGCTTGCTTTGCTAGTCTGTTAGTACCATTACTCTATTTCTATTAAAAAATTCACTTTAATTTAATTCGTAAAAATTTGATAGATTATTATTATTGAATAGCTATAATTGTAAGTGGTTTTCTATCGGCACTTTTTTAGATTAATCGTTGAATTGTTTCATCCCACAGCACCAATGAAAAGTCACCTATTTCTTGAAGAACCAAAATAGGATATCAAAGATCGATTACTTATCAATTCAGACACTTTCATATGCCTCAAATACCAGGTTAAAATTAAAGTCAAACCAATTAAAAAAAATAAAAGTAGAAACTAAAAATATGCAGTCATTAAAAAAATCATTGGAATAATTAGGAATTATTATAACTGAATAACTGTAATGAAAATAAATTATTATCATTACAGACATCTAGCGAAACTCTGCTTCTTCAAGATAGAAATTTTGTTCAAAATTTTAGCAAATCAAAGCTGCTACCTGTAATCTCTTTACTTAGTATAATACTTGATAAATTAATAAACACCATTTATTTAAACAGTTTCTACCGAATGAATTGTTTTTCTAATAACGACTAATTATAATGAGCAATTATTTTTCCGAATATTACTCTATTTCATGAATTGATTAAAACTGATCTCCTACTTCCTTCCTAACCACCATATTTTATTACTCATTTACTGCCAAAATTTTCAAGTAGATAGTATGTCATTTGTGAAAATTTTCATAAGTCATCTAGAAAAACTATTCATCTTCCTTCTGCTCGAATATCCAAATAGGAATCGATTAAATTCAAAAACACAACAAGTTCCTATCTCCAAGATTCAGATTCCTTAAATCTCCTGGAAATATCCATTGCTTTTCAGGTACCAAAAACGATAATGTCACAAATTTCTTTAGATTTATATTAAAACACAGAAAACAAGTACATGTTTGGGATGATTAGCTGTATTCTTGGTACCAAAGCATGGAAAATGAAGCCAATGAAGACAACATGTTGTAGTTGCTAGGCCATTTCTCTTATCCGACATCGATCATTGTGTCAATGAGCACATTCCACTACACACAATATTCATATCAATGTCTCGCAATCTTTGGACATAATCCAGCTTTGTAAATAATAACAACAGCAATAATAACATATACGGTCGATATTTCAATGACAAAAATATCTATACGTATAAGAAGAGCTCACCACGAAGTCCTGATCATTCCTCAGAAACTGAATGTCATCACTGACAACTGATAAAGCAATTAAGGTATTGATGAAAAGAATAGAAATAATTTATAACTTTCATTGAATATGGCATTTCCTTACTATTTCAGTTCTTATATAGCATAACGTAGCAAAAAAACCATCTCTAGAAAGGATGTTGCTTTCTGAATTTCCATATATGAGAATATTGACTTTTTTAATTCGAGATAGCAAAATCAATATAAATGAAATCAGCCAGTGACTCTCCAAACTAAACGAGAATAAAACACTAAGCTTGGAATGAAATAATTTTCTTACATTTCTATTATATTGGAATTTTCGTTGAAATTTCTCGAAAAGCAAAAAATCAGTAATTCGACATATTTTTAAATATTTTAAAAGTCAAAGAACTATATCAGTGTCCAAATTCCCACGTTTCTAATTCATTTAAATAAACATTTAAAATCATGTAAAGATCGCAGTGAAAAATAAAATTCATAACCATAAAATGACAACCAGTTCTGGAAAAAAATTGAAGAAAATATATTTAATATGCTGCGAAACAAATCGCAAAAAAAGAGATTAATTTAAATGATATTTCAGTTTAAATACATGAAAATTGCCGGACATTAAGAGACGATTATTACTGACAGATAACTGTGCAAAAATGTTTGCAAAAACACAAGGACCACTAAAACATCATCCTCACTTATTAACACAGTATTGCAAATTTTTTAAATGTTATTGTCCAATAAATGGACTACAAAATTCAACAGCCAAAAATAATATTGGCAACATTTAACTTGAGATTATGCTTAAAGTATTATTATCTCAAGCTGAAAAAAAAATAAAAATACCAAAAAATAAAAACATATATATGTATGTGTGCGTGTAAATGTGCATATGTGAGATGGGTGGTGCGATCGGAATAAGCTAATGCTCCTTTTTTACGATTAACGAAAGAACAACATCAACACCAACTGAACTACCCCCAACATAGACAAGCAATTGTCCATTCTAATTCCAGTCCGTTTAAAATAAAATAAAATTTCACTCTCTCCCTAGCTGATGCAGAATAAACCAACAAGACAAATTCACAGCAATGTATATGATAAATGAATGTTAAAATTCTAACAGTGATATGATATAATATGAAACATTAATAAATTTAAAGAAAAAACAATAAGATTCGTTAGATGTTTTTTTTTTAATTTTCATAATCATCAATCATTTTTCATAATATTAAAATTCGATATAATTTTATTTAATAATTTTACTTTTCCTATTCCAGTTTTTTCTCATAAATTATTCTCGTTATACAATAATGATTATGAAAATTATGAATTGCAACTATAGAAATATTAAATGGACATAACGCTTTTCTACAATTAAGAAATAGAATTAAGAGAAAAACTCATTCTCAGTATTGCAGCAATAAATAGAAATCAATTCTAAAGAAAAAGTTTTTTTTAATATTAAAAGTTCGACTTGACAATTTTATTTTTCCTATTCCAATTCTTTTCCATAAATTATTTTCATTGTACAATAATATTATGTATCCAAGTTCTCGAAATAATAAAACATTCTCCGTTTTCAAATTATCCATAACAATTTTCCCAGTTAAAATTATTAGATCATAATGTTTTTTTTTCCTTTTTTATTTAACTTGAAAGAAAAAAATTCAGCTGATAAGAGCTGAATCATCAGTGATTATTTACATTACAGCCTATCCAGATAGGAAGTGACCCTTGGTTAGCTTAAAAACTATATCAATCTTCCAACTGAAATGGTATCATTGAATCACTCATGAACATTCAAATGTTGTAATATTCAGTCAGCATTAGCTAATATGAAAGTTTTGTGCTATAAAATAAAAAACATATGACTATTTAAAATTGGTGAAACAAAAACGTTCGTACCGATTGTACATTCAAATGAAAAAAAAAAGGCATTAAAATGAGGTCCGGTAGTAAATCGACAGCTTGGGAAACAATACACATTTTATTTCATTTTCTTTCATTTCGTTTGCCCATCACTTCTAACAATTCACCAAAGCTGCCCAAATGTGTTGATATTTCAAAAATCAATTATAAGTTATGTCCAATGTTTTAGCAACGATAATGTGCGATGCTTTCGTTTAAAAAAGAAAATATTATAATATGGAAATTATGATAGCATTTCATTTTTCTCATTCTTGAATTATCAAAGAAAATTTAACATCTCATTTTCTTACAATAAAGGGAATGGCTGTGGTATATGGAAAGCCGAAAACTGAAAAATAATTCTTTGATTTGCTGCCTAATAATTTAAAAAAGTGTAATAGATCATTGGAAATCTACCTGATGAGGATAATTTAATGAATATACAACTAAGCTGAATTGTTGTTATAATGTTCGATTATTTTTAGAAACATACATTTTATAATAATTTAATTGCAGAGTAAAATATTCTCGATAACAAAGCTTTGCGAAAGTTGAAATAGAATTAAGCAATCCATAATCCGAAATTATTTTAATTGAATTATTCAAGAGGATACATACCAACAGAATCTCTGGCAGTAGCGCAAGATATTACTTTATAAATTAATATATCATATTTTTGTATTCGTTGAATATCGTTCAATTTTTAAACGAACTCGGAACTTGGATTGGCTGATATAAGTTTAAATACCCATGTTTTACGAGAAATTTTGATTGTGAATGATATATCTATATGTCAGGAATTTAAATCATTATTGCAAAATGTATGATCAGTAAGAAATTATATTTATATGCCCTCTTGATGTCTCACTGTTTAGGGATCAGAACCTAAAAATTTTAAAGGTGATTTTATTCAAATATCATTCTTTATATGCATTCCTTATAACTTAATATATCAAAAAAATGCATCAGAGTAAAATTGCGATATTCGATGAATTTTTTTCACAAAATGGATGCAATTAACAATGCTCGACCATTCATACGTTACAAAAGTATTTTTTTAATTAATCAATACAAAGTTAAGAAAAAGATTCTCCTTTAACTGGATGACATTAATGAGTGTTCCAAAGTAATGCAAGTTTCATCCTAACTGGATCTTTAAAAATTTAAAAACAATTTAATTTCGAAAATATTGAAAAAATATCTGATACGATAGAAATAATAGTAAAGTATGATTTGACAGAAATAGTTTTGTAGCATTAATTCTGCTTATCAGTGAAATAAATTCAGTCAATTCAGAAAAAATTCTTTGTTTCATATTATCCATAAAGTAATCTTTGAATTTTCAGTTCAATTTCTAACAAGTTGAAACTTAATGCTCAAAATGAATTTTATAATCGAATTCTAAAATCTACTTCATTTTGCTCACTCAGTGAGAAATAAATGACCAAGAAAATGAAAATAAAAAAGTCAAATATAAAGAAGGAGAAGAAAAAAAGTAACACAATCAACTCCATTCTGCGCTACTATTTTTAATCTGGTTATCATGGTCTAATCAATCTCAGATCATTTTGCATTATTTCAATTGCTTGCTTAAAGAATTAAGGGAAATAACTGTATATTTCTATAGGAATAAATAATTGCTCTTATGTAAATTCTTTTCTACCCTTGGGCTCCATGAGCCATTTTTTTCGTGGTAATGAACATGTCGAGAATTTAATAGCAAATTCTTTACAAAATGGGCAAATCTTCGTATGAAGAAGAAATACTCTATAAAAAAAATATCATGATAAATTACTTTCCGCCTTTGAAAATAAAATGAATTCCGGTAAAATGATCCAACCTGATATAATCCCTTTTCCAAAGCTACCTCTTATTTAAGGCAATATTCCACTAATATTTTTTCTAAAAGCCTTTAAGTTTGTTTCTCTTTTTACCTGCTTTTTGTATTACTATCAAAGACGGTACTCAGATTAAAAAAATTTTACTAACTAATAAAAGACAAAAATAAAGAATATATGCCTAATGATAGCTCAAAAAATTAATAAATTTCGCATGTATGAATCAAATATGCAAGCGAAGCATAATTTTCCAGCCATGAAATTTTTTGCAGAAATTAATAAAAATAGGGCAAGACTTGACAAAATTCGATAAATATGGCTTGTAAGAAAGTCTTAAAATTTAAGCTGCAAATTTCAGGAAAATAAAATAATCCATCTAGCGGAAGGAAAATATTTTAATGGACCATTATACGGAGATCTTCAAAAAGCATGCAATATGAAGAAACATAAGTCATTCATAAAAAATTAGAAGAAGGAAAAAAATCGCTGAATATGAAAATATAGAAGGGAACATGGAGATCTGAAGAGAAAAAAAAAACACTGCTATGTAAATTATGGCATCACCTTTTTTTTGTATGCACTACTTAAGATCGATAAAAAAAAAGCAAAAAGAAAAGCGATATTGGTAAAAAAAACCTTTAGCTACTTATGTTTCCTTGAGTAGCAGACATACACATTACCAACTATCAACGTCTACTATCATGATCATTATTGCTGTCATTACATCGTTATCATCATTGCCATCAACATCGTGAAGATTAAGGAAGAAACATCCAGTTACATCTAGTATTTCTTGATTACATGGAAGAAGATAAGCCAAAAAAGAAAGGAAAAATTCATCTGACTATGAAATGAGCATCACAGATGTTCACTTCAAAAAAAAATAAAAATATATGTGCAAAAAATGAAAAAGTATATGTACTCATTTATGGAACCTAATATAGTGAGAAATATTATAGCTATGATAATAAGATTTGAGATAGCCGAACACATCAAAAAAATACAGAAAGATGATTATTATCACATTCAAGAAATCCGATACGATAAGGATGGAAAGAGGATATCACTGGTGCGTTCTAAATTTATTGAAAAATAGATAGAAATGTCCATTAGATGAAATAAATCAGGATATAAGAAAAAATGAATTGGTTTTAGAAGAGCTTAATATGAATCGACCATATTAAGAAAATAAATTAAATCATAAAGATATCTAAATAATCATCAATAACAATCATTTCGTGAAGAATAGTGTGATTTGCAACATAAAATGCCACTTCATATTGAGAAAATTGAAAACCTGATTTTGTTATAATAATTGAGTTAGTAATTTAAAAAATAAAAACTTTGTTGAATATTAAAACTTGAAAAACTATTAAAATTACACCCACTGCATTTTTAATATTCCCAGATGCAATGAAAATTATTCGGCAATCTTCCCAAAAATATTTTAAAATGAATAAAAAAGACTTGAAATAATTCATCTTCCCCAAGACAGAATAAAAGAAAGAAAAATTAATCTCTTAAGGTGATAAAGCAAATTAGACCTTGAAGAGAAAAATAACAAAAAATTAGAAGTTTCATTGGAAAAAACTGAAATATCAAATAATAAATTAAATTTCTGTCATTACAAAAATTATCGGGTTCTGAGATCTGCGATTTGCAATTTCATTTTAACAAGAGAAAAATTTCCGTAAAATATTTCTTCTAAATCAAGATTGTAAAATTAAGTCCACCTACTTCAATTTATAATGTTATGTCAAATTTTAATCACACTTTCTGTTATTTTAATTTATAACTACTACTGATTGCGTCTATATCCTTGCCATATATTAAACATTCTTCAATTCTTCTGTTATTGATGACTGTTATTAAAATTGTCATGAAAGTCTTTTTTATCGCAATATTTTTTGTCCACATAAATCTTGCAAAACGTATGTTAAAAAAAAAAAACTAAACTAACCATATTGTGCATATTGCTTATGTCAATTTTTTGAGGACCAAAAGAAGAGATAAGACCGCAACAGTAGTCAGTAACTGTTAAATTTATACAACATGAGAACGCTTCAACCCATCTCTGTAGTTCATCGTTTGACAGTAAGTTCATCGCTATTTCTGATGAACCATCGGCTTAAAAAAGCAATCAATAAAGCAATCGTCGGCAATCAATACGGTTTCATCATAAGAATCAAAAATTTCCGGAAAAAACAGAAGCTGAGAAAAATGCACAAAATAGTTCCAACTAGAATATCTTTTAATCAATAACTATAAAATGGATCCAATAACAAAGATGGGAAAGCAAATTTTTCAATTAATTTCTATGGAGACACAAAGAATTAAAATGCTTTGACTAAAAACAAATATCTAATTAAAACATTAAAAATGATCTGACCTAAATAAAAAATTTAAAAAATCAAGTAAATGCTAAAAGCTGAGATACCTCACACCCAATAGTAAGGAGAGATTTCTTGTTTTAGATTTCATACATATAACAATTTGAAATGTTGAAGAAAACCGAACCATTTTCAATGTTCGATCTTGCCCCCTTTCCCATCTCTTTTTTTCTTCCTTAAGTATTCTCCGTTATTTTTTCCTATTTCTGTTTTGTTCTTTCCTTTTCCAAAAAAAAAAGTTCAAAAATAAATAGGTTGTAAAAATATAACTCATAACTCATATCTAACTTCCCGCACTACTGTTCATGAAAAAAATCCATTTTTAACCGCCAAAAGAAACGATAATAAAACGCAAATGAAACAAAATCAAACGTTGAAAAAATGATAAATATCTTAAATCGCAACTTGTAATGAAGAGATACATGGACTAATAAATTTTTCTTCCTCTGATAACGAAATTGTCTACTAACTAGTATCGAGTATATCTTTCGATACACATCGTGCTAACTATCGAGTTATTCCGATTAATCTACTGCTAAAGTTAAGCTTGAAGAAATACCATTGCAAAGAATTAACGTTGTTTTGTTTTCCGCCTTCTTCAAAGTCAGTTTGTCAAGAGAAATTCTTTTCTTCATTATATATGAATTTACATTTGAGGTGATCTCGAGAATAAGTATTGTCGTTGGAAATAATATCACACATCTGAAATCAAATGAATAAACAGTTATTTTCCTATCTATTTGATTACTGGTCTGCTTATGCCAACTTAAAATCTTTACTGGATTTTATTTTTTTAGTTAACTATTGAAAAAAAGTAGGAGTTCTACGGTGGAAAAAATAAGAACAAGAAAAAAAAGTTTTATTGCTTTGAAAGAATTAGTAAAATAAGATATCCCTACAACAACAGACTAAAGGATAAAAGTATGCAGTACCAAATTGCTAACTTGACACATTCTGAGAGGCAGTCAACTTAGCAACAATTAGACTTTTGCTCCCCTATTTCATCTTTTTAAAGACTTTAACAAAAAATTACCTATCACAAGACAGTTCTTCCTCAACAGAAGCCTTTACATCATCCACAGAAACAATACTCATGTACAAAATTTCTCCAAGCTTTTTCAGCTCTTCGGAGGGCAAACCATCAATGGTACCAGAAGCAAGTAATTCTAACTGCATCTCCTTTTGTTTTCGTAAAGTTCCGCAGTAATTCTAAAATAAATCTCAATAAAAATTAAATACAATCGATTTTTTTTCAGTTGTTGAAAAAAATCATGCAATAGTTTTAATTTCTTAACAATTGAAAATCTTACTATCGCATAACAAAAATTCTTGAGTGACCCGAAACATCATTCCGGCACAATAGAGGCGGTTAACAATGACGGAAATCATATGCATAATTTAAACAGTTTTCAAAGAAATATGAAACGAACGGTAATATCACGAAAGACAGCAGCAGCTCGTTGCGTATCACCTCGATCGGGATGCGCTTCGTGCATACCACGCTCCAATTCATTTAACATACTCGGATATGTTTCCAAATGTCGGAATGGATGGCTCAATCCGGATATTAAATCTTTCAAAGGATAATCTATTTCTTTTAGTACCTCCTCATAAAGATTCCTAAAAATAAAATTGAAAATAGGTCATAAGATAGAATCCACTGATTATATCACCATCATATTACGTACTCAGTACGAGACTCGATTAGTATTTTAATTTGCAATAACAGATGATTGATGATGCTGTTCGCTGAGCACTAATAAATTGAAATTGTACTTTTATAAATACTATGATCATTTTTCTTTTCTTGCTAGAAATTTTTATTTAATCAAATCTTTCATAAAAAGCTTACTTATTTCTAAGAATCAGATCTACTGCCTTTGGATGATTTTGGCAATAGAGCCTAAGAAGATGTCGCAAATTTGGTGCTGCTCTTAATAGCAAACCACCAATTCGAGCATTTGTTGCATCTTTGTCAACAGCTTCTTTAATATCACTTAGTAGTTCGCGCTGGTGAGTAATGAGAAGTTGCAGATTTCCAGCAAGAACTTGAAAATCGTTCTCAGAAATCCTAAAAATATAAAATTCAAAATTACGATCGAATTTCAAATTCAGTTGCTTCTAGAAACAAATTTATGCCGCAGCATCATTTTTACACTTTTTCAACTTTTCAATTTTCAATTTTTACAAAAACGATATCGATAATTTGGCGCATATGTACATTCGTACATTATCACCAGAATATCAAGAAATTTAAACAGAACAAGGTCCAATAGTTAACAGAAAAAGATTATATGAAGAAATACTTTTTCGAATTTTTAATTTTGGCCAATGTATCGTCGCTAAATTTTGTAACACTGTCAACATACTTTAGTTCCGCTTCAAGAAAACTTTTTATTACCTGAAATTAGAAATATTAAATGCACAGGCTGCAACCAAATCTCGGTCTACAAGGCACTTTAGACTACCGGCAATATCAAATGCAGCTTACGATTATTGCGTTTTAAGATGTGATGTCACAACATAGTCACATGCAAAACAGCATGCGACGATAGAATAAAGCATTCTCAAGAATAGATTTCGCAAAGGTTGCATTAGCTCTTCAAAGGCATGCTACAAGATTTACAGTCTTTTAATGTCAAATATTGACACTGCAATCTAACTTATCCTATAGTTGACGTTTGCCGGTGATCTCAATTATTTTGATTAAATTTGCAATGCAGTACACTTTCAAACTATAATAAACGCAATACACATCCTAGAGTTCTAGCAATAAAAAAGCATTACGTTGTACTTTCAGCTATAAAAATGGATAGAACATTCGTAAAGCAGCCAAATTAGGCAAGTGGGAACTATATACGCAAGTAACAAAAAATTCTTTGGGACTAAATGCTTCAAACAAAAGATAAAAGAGTGCTTGTTTGTTTACCTGTTCCCGATAAGCTTGTCGACTTGTGTCACTGGAAAAGAGAGGTGTTTCCTTTGTTGGACCAGATGATGTGCCATCACCATTTAATACTGGAGGTCCGTTACTTCGAGATCGCAAAAACCTCTCTGAAGAAGTGATTGCCTTGAAAAACTGCTCTTATAAACTTGTTCAGAATACTTCATAAATAACAAATCCCGTCAAATGCATTTCATTTGATATCATATATTTAAAGCAATCCCAACAAACTTAAAGTAAAAAATTACATTACTCAGTTCCTAACAATAAATCAAAGATCAAACCATCCAAAAATCTGTACCAGATTCTGGTATTATTGTGACGTAATTAGATGGAAACCATCCAGTATAGGAATGCAGCGTTCCTTCCCACCAACCGCCCTCCAATTGCTGTGTAACCGCGATAACATCACCTTTTCGGAATGAAAGCTGGAAAATTAATTGAAACATATTATGCTATGTTCAGAAAATTAAAAATCTATCAAATCACTTCTGCTGCTTCTAATGATAATAAAAAAAAAGAAATGAAACCAAGAAAAAAAACAAAATATAGAATATATTAGTTATTCACTACTCGATAAACAATAATTAAACAAATAAAAATAAACAATAAAAAAATGGAAACCTCGTCATTGTTTCGTCCTTTAAAGGCATGCTTTGCTCGGGCGTATACGGTTGAAGCTTGTTGAGTATTGAGAACACTATCGGATGAGGATGGGATAACTTCATGAAATCGTTCACCGCTACTTTCCATTAAATAAATCAGAAGCACCTCTGAAATTTTTTCCTTGACCTAACAAAAATCATTAAATAATGTAACCATTTCGAGATATTTTTGATTTTGCCAGAAGCGATAAATGGCGTATTAAGATATTCCACAAATTTGATATGTACGTAGTGCTGATCAACTTCCATACTATTTTAATTAATAGTATATTAAAGGCATGAGATACAGTACAGTTGCGTTTTTCAAATATAATTATCAAAATCACAAAAATCAACAGATGATATATATCATTCTACAGAAATTAGAAGCAAATTTCCGGATTTTAAGTATGTTCGGAGAATATTATGTACATTGAGGAAAAAAATTTTACTAGGCAAGTATATTGGCAATGCACATAAGTATATTTGATTTTAGCTTTTTACAGTATTAAACTGGCTGTGAATAAATAAATTTTTTTACAGTATTAAACTGGCTGTGAATAAATAAATCATTAATCGTACCGCTGCCCACCAAAATAAAGTGGATTAAGATTCCGGTATCATGCTATTCCGGATTACACCGCAATCTAAGAATTGCTGAAGCATTTCATAACTATAAGTGTTGGCTGTCTTATCATTATTCCGTTCGTTTCCATCGCCTCTAAATATTTCTCCCCACTTTGCTCCAAAATCTTCCGACATTTTTTGTACCACAACTTTTTTTTTCAAATCTTAAGTTCTTCAATTCGATTGGCTTTGGTAACGACATTGATAAATCTATCAATTAATCAAAATGGTTATTTATTATTTGGACAAATGCCATGAAAATAGGAACAGATAAAGTGCTGATTAATATTATATATTCTGATGGACGGAAATTATCGTCATATCTGATATCAATCACTGTTCATTTTTCCGTTTTCTTTCTCTCTCTCTCTCTCCATTCCGAACTGCAAACTCACCGCACACAGCGACGTTATTTCACAAATTCTATTTCCTGAAGCACTCTCACTTTTTGTTACATCATCTCCAGGCCAATTCCTAATTTAATCAATTCCTGACCTCATTCGGAAAAGTATCAATCTCTCATCTTACTATTCGACATAAACTGTTTTCTCCAAGAAAGTAATCTGCAACTTCCGATATGCCTAAAAGAATGATTACAGTCTTGGTGGAGTGACAAAGATTTGTTAAACGTTCTTTCTTACTTTCAAGATGAAAAATAATATCATTAATTTATGTAATTCAAATCGTGCTACATTACGTGCTTCTATCAAGACAGGTACGATACTTATCATAATCAGAAAATTATCAAATCAACTTTCTTCTGAACTCAAATAAACTAAATGCGATAAATCTTGGAAGGGAATATAGCTTCCGAAATTAAATTAATCCGTATAATTAAGAAAATATATGCTTTACACAATGAAAAAACCGTCTTGAAGCTGTCATTCATTAATCATTAGCTAAAAATAACGCAATATACTAGCTTTTGCTTTATAACAGCTAACGAGAAATACTCTTTAATTTACTATTAAGCAATCAATTCTTCTCATATCATCTTATTATTCCTTTCAAAACCTAACATTTAAAATTTTACATACAACATTAAAAAAAATTTTACTCTTACAATCAATTCTTCTTCTATCATTTTATTATTCCATTTAAAAAAAAAAACCTAACATTTGAAATTTTACATACAACATTTAAAAAAAAAAACTTATACAATGAATTTTGTAATAATAAATTAGTAATAGGTATAATGAATAAATTAAATAAAATCATACCAATTACATTTCACCCTAACTTTAGAACATCAATTTTGTATACTTTCAATCATGTTTTCTTGTTCGAAGTTTACACATCCGTATCGAATAGACCGAAGATTGATTGTTCATTAGTTGCATACGGTCGTGTTTTCTTACCCGCGCAGTAAATATTTGCTGATGAGGTCAGTTTAGGCTGTGATGGCATCGGGTAGGTGGTTGTGTTCCTTGTCCTTCTCGTCGTCGTCGTCGTCGTCGTCGTCGTCGTTGTTATTGTTATTGTTGTTGGCGGCGTTAGTGATGAAGGTTTGCATGAGATGGTGTGCTGTACTGCGATGTACGTACACGTATTACGCTTTCTCTTCCAGTGTTTACATACGTGATTGGTTGCGTATATAATGGATGGAAACATAAATGTGTCTGTACATATACGTTAACGGAATTCTGTGATGGTGGTGAATGTTTCTTGTTTTATTCTGTGATGGTGGTGAATGTTTCTTGTTTTATTCTGTGATGGTGGTGAATGTTTCTTGTTTTTGAGTACTTGAATTTGATGTATATGTTGCTTATGCGTAAACATGTCAATATGTGCAAATGAAGCTTTGTGCAAGTGCATTTGTCGCATTGTATATATGCCTATGTAAGGCTTACATGTGGTAATATTATTTATGTCAGAGTAGGTGTGTTGTGATATGAACGTTGTTATGAGTTCTGTATATGAGAGGTATATGATTCTGTGCAGACGTATATGTGTGTGTGTGTGTGTGTTTGTGTATACATATGTATGTGTTAGACATTTTTGCAAATATTGACGCAAGTATAAGCAATATACTTGTATTGGTATGCTCCTCATTGAAGGCGTATATGTTTGTGTCTATGCTTGTACGTATGTGCCTGTCTGATTTTATTCATGGGCGATTTGTATTTGTTATGATTGTATTTTTGTGAGTGTCTGCGTATGTTTTGTGAGTATGTCTTTGTCTGCCTGTGTATTATGCCATTGTGCATATCGTCGGTGTTGGGTTGTAAATGATTTAACGTTGATTAAAAATTTCTCAATTTTGTGATGTGGAAAATTCGATCAAATGAGACAAGATAATATGTAGGATTCGTTATCATATCTTTTAAAATTTGGAATTCGGGGCAACCGATTATTACATCCACTCATTTGTTTTCAGCAATTTCAGGAAGTTGGTTTCATCCCTTTTCACACTAAACGCGAATTTTTTTCGTTTGCTTCGTCGATTCTGACATGACTGATGCCAATCAACAGTATGTGTTTTCATATTTTTTTGAAGAAATATTTTATGATTAATTTAGTGTTGGTTTTTTAGTATTAAATTGCTTGCAAATATATGTTAAACAGGGTGAGCTTATTTTATATGTTGCTAATAGTAGAATTTGCAGGCAGAAACATGTAAACGACGGTGAAGTCGCTGGCGCCCCTGCGCCGATTCAGGCGCCTTTGGATTCTGATGGTCTTATTGAGGTGTGTCTTATTGGGTATTTATGGTGGTGGGATGTTTTATTAATAGGAGTGAATCTTAGCAGTTTGTAATTCTTGATAAATCAAAATGAATACTTCAATTATAGAGTAATTGGGATTTTGTATGCGAAAACTTCGATGAAATGGGTTTGAAAGAAAATCTGCTTCGTGGCATTTATGCGTTTGGTTTCGAAAAACCGTCTGCTATTCAGCAACGCGCAATTATTCCGTGCACCAAAAGTGAGTGACAAGGAGAAAATATGAAATAAATAAAGTTACTGGTGATGTAAAGCTGAGAATATCCTGACTGTAGGACTTTATTTAGGTTCATTTTTAAAGAATAATCAAGTTCTTTGCTCTTCGCAACCTCATCTTGTCGTAGCCATTGTAAGATGAGATTGAGGAAAAAAAAAAGAGAAGGGAGAAGTTGCTGACTAGAATCACAGTGTAAAGCATAGCCTTTGCCCGATTTTGCTTTCCCTTGTATTTTTCATTGAACATATTATCTAGTTCTCTCTTTATTACATATGACATGCTTCTTTTCAATGTTCGCTTTGTTAATTTTCAAGTATCCACCCATGTCGGTTTATTTCATCTAATCAAACATGGAGACGGAATCATCGGAAAAGAAAAATTTGCATGTTTGGAAGGCGCTATGTGAATTCGATTGCTGCAGTTAGCATTTTTTAGAGAGACTATCTCCCTAAAGCAATCAAATGTTTTTAACATCCTAATCAGATAGTCTCCCTAAGAAAAAATTTTTTTTTTAAATTTTGAATGGTGGGTTGCGTTTTCGAATACTGTACAGAAGTGTGTTTTCTTCCAATTTTTCCCGTTGCAGAGCGTGACGTCATTGCCCAAGCGCAATCTGGAACTGGCAAAACAGCTACTTTTTCGGTAGCAGTCCTCCAAAATATTGATGAAACTATTCCAGAAGTTCAAGCTCTTATAATGGCACCTACTCGCGAGCTTGCACAGCAGGTGTATTTTTTGGCTTCAGTAATTATTTAACTGGCGAAAAATGAGAAGTGGCATGTTAGAACATAGAGAGTAGTAGTGATGAGTTTGACCCTGTGTTTCCAAAAAGAAAAGTGGCTGTATTGATCGCAAGTGTTGCAATTCTAAAGAATTTATTGGAAAAGATAATCATAAAAAGTTCGTCAAGTTGCGAATATAGAATAAAATTGTATTGTTGGTTGCGGGAAAACTTGTTCGAGCCATGATGATATAACTTGCCCTCACGGACTGGGAAATGGCGATATTACGTTTAGTAGCTGAGCTCGAAATTCTTGGATGCTGTGTTTTTTGATGCAAGTTGAATCTCAGCTCAAAAAGTCCATCTTTGTTAAAAGTTTGAATACACATCGCTTTGTCCACGCGATGGATCATCTAATGATCATATAGTGCAAGGATTTCGCATTTCAGCATCTTTCGTTATGCCGAATTTCGTATGACCAAATATGTATCAATATTTATCATTTTTAGCTAGCAGAGGTAAAACAAAGGAAGTCGTAGCTTCATTGTATACCTTTTATACCAGTAATTTAGATTCAAAAAGTAATGCTGTCTTTGGGTGAATATCTCGGTGTAAAATGTCACGCATCAATTGGAGGAACAAATGTTCGCGATGATCAACGTAAATTGGAGTCTGGTGTTCATGTTGTAGTCGGTACACCCGGTCGTGTTAATGATATGATCACTCGCCAGTCTCTTCGTAAGTTGTGGACAGTTGAACTTATTCTTCCAGTTCAACTATTAAGTGAAATGAATATTTAGAAGTTTTCGAGGAATTGAAAA